CCTGCCACGGGCAGGGACCCCTTCCACTAGAGCAGCTTGCTCCAAGCCCCTGTGTCCAACCTGGCCTTGAACACTGCCAGGGATGGGGCAGCCACAGCTTCTCTGGGCACCCTGTGCCAGCGCCTCAGCACCCTCACAGGGAAGAGCTTCTGCCTAAGAGCTCATCTCAGTCTCCCCTCTGGCAGGTTAAAGCCATTCCCCTTGGCCTGTCCCTACATCCCTTGTCCCAAGCCCCTCTCCAGGTTTCCTGCAGCCCCTTCAGGCACTGTTGCTGCTCTCAGGTCTCCCCTTCAGGAGCCTTCTCTTGTCCAGGCTGCCCCAGCCCAGCTCTCTCATCCTGGCTCCAGAGCAGAGCTGCTCCAGCCCTCGCAGCATCTCCATGGCCTCCTCTGCGCACTGGGAACACTGACACTTACCTGCGCACACCCGGACTGGCTCTGGATAAGGCTGCAGATCCAGGTGGCTTCACGGCAGTGAGAGCAGCCTGCACCCCGCTGAGATCTAAGTTGGTAGCTGAAAAGAAACATTCAAAACGTGTGGCAATGCTGTTTAATGAGGTGGGCACCACCACAAGGGAAACACCCAGCGTGGCTGTCACTTCCTCTGCACCCCATGGCATGAGGCAAAGTCGCATTACTGTGGTGAGCTTCAGCCCAGGAGCAGGTTCCTGGACAGTGAGGCCGGGAACAAAAGTTCTTCCACAACCACGGTGTCTCCAGCCCAGAAACTGCTGCAGAGTGCATGGGAGAACCTTCTGCTGGCCCTCCGAAGGCCATGGAGTTTAATGCTGATCTACAAACGGCGAGTTGCCTCAATGCCGCAGGGCAAGGTCTGCTTACACTTGTGCAAACAACCCGGCACCAGACAGTGCCGCACACCCCTGTGCATTTAACTGTTCTCTTTTCCCAAGCCTTAACCTCAGTTGCCGGCATAATGCTCTGGGAATATACATTTAGGGTGGAAAGCACTGCTGGAAACTGGCTATTCTTCAAAAGCATATTTACTGGATGTTCCAATAGCCACGACTGAATAAATGTAGAGCAATATTACACCGGGTAAAAATAGCTGGGATAAAAGAAGAGTGAAACTCCCAGTACCTTTTTATTCCCTGTTTTTATCAATGATCTAAATGATGCTGTGAAAATCCTTGCTGTGGCCAAGTCTGCATATGCCAGCAGGGAACCAAGGAGCTATCAATACCCAGTGATCTGAACTAACTGAGAGTTGGCCACACTCCAGTGAAACACGACTGAAAAAGTCCAACGCAAGGCAAGCCACTGGAAACCAGAAACGCAGGTTACACATACAGCATGCTGCCTTGAAAAGGACTTAGAGGACACCACGGAGCTCTGTCATAAAGGGCCTCCTCTAACCCCTTGATGTCCAGAAAGGGCAATCACAGACCCCAGCAGGAAGAGCTCCTTCTCACGCAGCTCTGGTGAGAAGCTGCTGGGAAGCCGTGTTCATAGGATCATAGAATCACAGAATCAACCAGGCTGGAAAAGCCCTTTCAGCTCCTCCAGTCCAACCGTTCCCAGCCCTGCCAAGGCCACCCCTAACCCATGGCACTGAGGCCTCGTCTCCACGCTGTGTGAACACTTGCAGGGACGGTGACTGCAGCCCTGCCCTGGGCAGCCTGTTCCAATGCCTGAGCACCCTCTGGGGAAGGAATTGGTCCTCAGCTCCATCCAAACCCCCCCTGGGGTTCAGGCTATGCCCCTTCCTTCATAAAGAGAAAACACAGAAGAGATTCAGGCAAAGCCAAAGAAGGGCCATGGAGCTTGAAACAGCTCCAAGGAAGGAGCTGTGGAAAGGCAGGGGCCCAAGGCTGTTGGCTTATTGAAGACATGACTGAGGCACGATCTGATTACTGCTACAGGCACTGCCCACGGGGAAAGGCGGTTGTGGGAGAGGGCTTTTGGGTATCAGGATGCCTCCTCCAAGACAACTGCAAAAGGCAGCAATCAGAAATGGAACCTTGAAATAGAACAGGACAGACAGAGCAGTGAAGGGTGTTCCATGCTGGACCACGTTTGTCAGAGAGCTGGGTGAAATGATGAGATGAGCTGGTTGTCAGAAGGCTCTTTAAGTCACCTTCTGTGAGAAAATACACAGGCTGTCAGACTAAACGGGGCTGTTGTCATGCCTAGATTACCAGACTGGAATCTAGTTCTTGCACAAACTGTTTGGAGCAGGGATTCTGGAAGAATGGAGGAAGGCTCGGGCAGCATGAAAGACTTTTCCTAGCTGCCTCAAACTTTACACTGTGCTCAGGGGGATACTTCCACCGCCTAAGCTTTAAGTACTGTAAGTTATATGGCTGTCTCTTCCCAAATTAAGCAAACACAGACTCCCCCCTGCCGAGCTGAAAATCTCAGTATCAGTTTCTCCAGTCCTCACCAAATCCTCACCAGCCTGGCTCTGGAGAAAATGCATAAAGAACCCCTGTCTGCTCCCAGTTACAGCTGGGGAGCTGTGCAGCTATCAGTGAGGTTTCAGGGTGTAGCAGAGCAGAAACCAGCTCAGCATGCTCATCTTCTCCAGCTAAGTCTGTCCTTCTGTTTCGATAGATTAGCTCTTGCCTGCATTTCCCCCTTGCACAGTGATGCCAGCCCGGCCACGGCAACAGCGAGCAGGGAACAGCGGGAGGCCCCGCTTCATCCAACACCAACTCCCAGATCTCTAACAGAGGCGGCTTTTGTTCTGCTGGTTCCTGTGTGATCTCTCCAGCCCTGTCTTCCAGCACTCTGCATTCCTCCTTCAGGGCTCCCTCCTAAAGTAACTCCATAAAATAAGCATATTAGTTTTCTCTCTCAAACCCGGACCTGGCATCTGAGCAACAATAAGAAGTGATCAATCATCACGCTGACACAAAAGGGTCTTTTTCCACCTCTGCCTTGCTTTTGCAAACTGAGCTGTCAGGAGTGAAAATCCATCTTCTGTTTGAAGGGAACACTCAAGACTCTGGCAGTATGATGCAAAGAGTGATTTTCTAGATTAAAATAAGTGAACACATTGCAAAGAATAAGCTGATCTTACCTGTACATCTTCCTGCCAAGCTGAGATGGACACTAGTGTCACAGCTAGTGGGTGAACCGTGCTTCTCACCACTCTCTTTGCCCCACACATCACACCATCCCTCGGCTCCTAAATCCCAAGTCCTCAGTGGGAACCAGGCAACTTTTCCACTTGGATCTCAGGTGAAGTTCCAAGTTTTCTCAGTGGATCCAAAGTCTGCTCAGACAGTGCCATCCCTTTCCTCGGGGGCAGCAGCAACTGTCATCGTGAAACAAGCAACTTCCTAATTGCAAAGTGTTGCTGCCCTGGAACAGAGGGAACATGCTATAAAAACAACAAAACAGGCTGTGCATGTTCTCATTCACTGTCACTAATCTGGACACGTACAGCCTGCTTTCTTGGCCTTTAATAAAACTTCCATTATCTTTTTCCTGGTTCGACCAGCTTCCTGCAGCCTCTTCTACACCTCTGTCAGCCTTTGGTTTAGCTTGGAGCAGCACAGCCTGGTTGAGGTGACTCCCCTGACCTTCCTCACTCAGTACCTTTAGGCCCACACTGCAGGACTGGATTCCATTCACACAAGCCCAAACACAAGTTGAGCTCCAGAGACCCACACAGCATGTCGCAGCTGCCATTGAACGTTCCAAGCTATGGGGCCAGACCAGGCTAATTCCAAGGAAATCACCCCAACATGCATACAGCAATACAGCACCCCATATATTTGGTGCATATAGCACCAAGCATTTCACTCCCCAGATCTGCTCCCTAATGCAACTGCAACCACTAGAAAGCTTCTCTCTGCATCTGCTTCTGTCCCTGCAAGACCTCGTGATGCTTCATGGCCAGCCCTTTGCCATACAAGGCCCCTTTGTAAGAATTAGTGAAGGTTTTCCCCCGTTCTCCTCTGTTCTGGTGTGGCTAAACAAGATTTCCTCTAGCAGGAGATAGAGGGAGGTATGCTTGGAGCTTCCCACCTACCCTGCTACCTTGTGAGTGTCACCTTCAGAGGTCTTCTCCTCGGAAGCCTGGCTTGGCCCAGCAAACCCCAGGGCTCCTCTAACCCAACAGCAGGCTCTGAATAAAAACAGAAAGCCAGGGCTGAGGTTCAGGTAGGAAACCATGTGTTGTCATGCTGGGGGCACTGAAGGGAAGAGGAAACCAGGTGGATTCCCCTAAAGAAATCACCAGGATCATCATGGATTGAGACTTACTTTGGCATCTGAGAAGTTTCCGTAGCGTTCATTTCCTGCAGCAGGTTTTTTTGTTAGCTGTTGTGTGCATGAGCAAATTTGGTGTGAGCTCAGCTCTGGTGCGTTACCTGCCATGCTCAGATGACAGCTTGTGTGAGACATGCTCATCCACCAGTTATTTTCCAATTAGCATGTAGCTGTGGAGTGATGAGTAATGTTGTACGCAGAGAGGGAATCTTCATTTGCCTGCCCTTAAAACCGGTTACTGTGATTTCTAAGGAGTGTCAAACAATTGCAAATCTTAACCAACCAAAATAGAAGGTAACTGCTTACTGTCAAGTCTAATTTCACTAAACAATGGTATCATTAAATTCTTTTGCACGGGTTGATTTTCAACTGGAAGGAAGAAGGAGGTGTAACTCCTACAAGAGGATTTCACATTTCTTCTTTGCTTGGATCTTTGGTTTATTTAATGGATTTATTTTGTGGGTTACATTTTAATCTTTGTCTTTCTATTAATGACAACAGGGGGATCTACAGTTCACCTTCTCAGTGGTGAAGATATGAGGAGTGTGACTTACTGCGCTTACTGTAACTGGCCACCTTTAAACATCTCTGCTAGCTCTGAAATAGCAGCGCTCGCTATGCCAGAAGATTGTTCCCACTGCAGAAATCTCAACCCAAAAGCATCACTCCCAGAAATGAGGCTCCCGTCTCAGGAGCCGATTTAAATCAGAGACTGAAACAGCAGAAAAACCACTCTCCTGTTATTTTCACTCTTCCCCTACTCACAGCACACCTTCCAAAGGCTGAAGGTGGCTTTCCAGAAAGAGAAGCGTGGGTAACGCTGTCACTGGAGCAGCAGAGTCACCACAGCCCTCTTCAAAACTGGGAGCAAAGCTGCTGGGAAGCAGCACGAGCGTCCTGCTGGACAGCTCAGCTCCTCTGCACTCAATGGGAGCATGCTGAAGCTGAGGAATGCCTCGAACTGATGAGACCTTGCCCAGATGCTGCTTAATGAGGAGCAGAAGCCCAGATGAACATGAAGTTCAGTAGCTCAGATGATAGGTACAGTAAGAGTAGTATTTACACAGCTAAACATGGCTGGGAGACAGCTACACACCAACACAGTTGTGTGCTGTAACTGTATAGGAGCTGGAAGAGTAGTATCTGCTCCCAGTTAACTCTTTAGTGTGTGGACACATGAGAATAAGGTTTTGTTCCTATCCAGTCCCCCTCCTTCCACTGCAGGTGGAGGGTGAGTCCTTACTCAGAGACATAAATGCAAGTTCTCTTAGGTGTAATTGCTACCTCAGCTACACACAGAATACATATTTTATATACTCTAATAAAACAGGGCCAAATAGAATATATAACATTTTATATGCTGTAATAAAACATGAACACCCCCAGTATTTTCTATCAAACGCAGCTTACGGTGAGAGTGTATTAAGGGCTCAAAACATTTAAAAATGAAGGAAAGATCTCTCTGCTGATGGTGGTTCCTCTCCTCCCTTATCTCAACCACACCTCACGATACAAACCCCCTCATCTCCTCTGCAAAGAACCTCCAATCCTGCACCTGCCACGAAGCATCTTGGTCCAGTCAAGATATTGCAGTTTTGAGCCTCCTTACATCATTTAGCAAGATTACACTGCCAAAAAGCAATTTCTGTGCAAGGAAAGCCCAGTAAGCCCTGCCTGATCCCTTTAGCTCTGTACCATCTGCAAATTTAATGACCCTCCACGCTGCGGCATGTGTAAATCTTTAATACAAATATTAAAGAGCCCCAGCGGAGGATCTGCTCCTCAGTCACCTCCGTGCTGACACTCGCCCTTAGCTTCAAGCCATGGCTCTGCTGCTTGCCAGCATTTCACCCTTTTCAAGAGCAGATTATTTTAACCTACGAGCAGGGAGTTTGGACTATAATCCATCACACCACGTTTTCTGCGAACCTGCTGGACAAGCAGATGGATTTCTGCAATGTAGACGGATAGTTATTTCATTAGCATAAGTGATCAAATTAGTCTGACATGATTTACCTGCAATATATCCATGCTGACTCACTCCCGTTACAGTAAATTTCATCTCTCTAAAAAGCCTGGCTGCAAACTCACTGTAAATGATTTCCTAAGACCAACATTCATCTTGAGTCTTTGCCTCCTGTTGTTCCTGTTGTGGAGGAGCACCCTCATTTTTGTGTCATTTTGGGGATGAGCTGGACTGAAAGAAGAGCCAGAGGGTATAGGAACAAGTGGAGGGCTGCTTCATTCAAGGACACCCAACTCCTTCTACAGACAGACACAGCACAAGGAATTAAGCCTGGTACAATACACTCAAAGTGAGATTTCATCTGATCCAACTTCCTCTGGATGCTGACAAAGCACCTTGAGTAAGAGAGAGCATGGAGCAGGAACACTAAGGTCTGCCTTGGGAGCTTCCAACCACAAAAAGCATTATCACCTTCTGCATCTAATAAAACTACCAAAAAAAAAAAACCCAAAACAACAAGAAAAAAGCTATTGCATGGCCAAACTATCTCCACAAAAGTAGGATTCCCTGCCATGTAACCCAAGTCTTTCTCACTGCAATCCAAACCCTTGCCCTATCCCTGCCCGACAGGAGAGTCAGTGACTGCTGTTTCCAGAGAGGCAGAACCTGTTGTTCTTCCCCCGGGGCACCAGAAGAGTTTTCACTCAAGCTGAAGCCTCATTTCCTCGCTCCAGTGTCTGGTTGGGACCTGCAGCCTAGATGGACATCACAATCACACTGGTAATTCATCTTTCTCCAATGAAACGGGCCTCTGAGGGAATTTGCTGGAAAGATTTCATTGCAAGAACTGAGCTGAAGTCCAGAGAAGCAGCTCAGGAGGCCTCCTTATTTGCTCTGGGTATGCAAAATGGTTTCTCACAGTTTCTTTACCCCCTATAGTATTACAGAATTGTTTAGGTTGGAGAGGACCTTAAGATCATCCAGTTCCAACCCCCTGCCATGGGCAGGGACACCTCACACTAGACCATGTTACCCAAGACTCTGTCCAACCTGGCCTTGAACACTGTAAGCCATGAGGGCTTGCAGATAACAGTGTCCTTCCATGTAGGGTTTGCCCACCTCTGACTGCAGTTGTCAAACCTCTAGGAGCAGCCAAAGCCCACAGGGGCTGCTGCTGACACAGCCTCAGGAGCTGCCCTGGGGTATAATTCCAGCTCTGCTCTGTCCTCTTGTGCCACCTTTAGGCGCATCACCTTCCTCTCAGAGCCATCTTCCCCTCCCACCTCGAGTGCGACTTGTATGCTTAAACCCCGAACTCTTCAGAGACCAACTCATGCATTTCTCAGGGTCCACCAGACAACTCCATCCATTTCCCAACTCTTTTTGTTAAAGGCAAGAACTCCCTTTCATTTTGCTGTTGGCTGAACATCCAGGAGAGGTTTTTCACACAGGATTTAAGGACTGCTGAGGAGGTAACTTAGGAACTTACTGCATAACACCTCAAGGTTAATTTTGGTCTAGGGAAGCATCCTCGTACTGAAGATGCTTCCGAAGGTCGACTCCACAGGTAGGCTGTTGGGAACTGCCTGTTACCAACCAAATCATTAAAGTACATTCTTAATTTCAACTGTATTCTTCAACGCAGAGAAGCTACGTGCAACATCCTGCTGAGGGCAAAGTGAGTCAAGTAGTTATTAAATGGTCACAGTTAAAAAGCAGAACAAAGGTCCAGTCATTAAAGCATGCACAGAAAACCAAGCCTTTTCCCCCATACATTAATCCTCCATAAGGCTTCCACTGGCTGGCATGGTAAAATAATATAGCCAGAGATGATACATTTTCCTCCTACATATACTCTCATTTAGCTTCTTGGGTGAATCTCTTCGTGCTCTTTGGGGTTTGCCTATTCTTTGGGTATTTATAATGAGCTAAAGAATGAGAGTCACCAACATGTTTCAAGCCTGTTATTTTGGACTGGTTAATCAAGGGGATAAGATGTGTCCTTGGGGAAGGACAGGTACCAGTGAGGCTTCATCCCTAACCAGTCTCAAGCATGTAAATTAACTTAAATGTATTTAAGCATCATCGACTTCAACAGTTTTTAAGCACCTATTTAAAATTAAGCAGTTCTGATAACTTGGGACCTTGGTCAAGTCAAAGGACCTCTAGGAAATAAGGTCATGCTGCCTGAGGCCAAGGTCTGTCTTCAAGCACATGCCACCCCATGTAAATCCCTCAATCAACACATGATCTGTAGACTACCAGGCAAGCTGAGTCTCTTCTCGATCAGCACCATCAAAGTCATGACAGTGCTGCAGAAACTGTTCTCTTTATTGACATGTGATCACTGAAGCTAAGCACGTACTGCGTAATTAGTCAGAAAAATGAATTATTTAAGTAACTTGCATTTAACAAATAGCTCTGCCATTCTGATTGCAATGCAGTACTCAGTCACCATAAAAATGCATTCTTCTTGTGCAGGAAAACAGATTTCTTTGCCTCCAAGATCCTGCAGGTTGGAGAGTTCTTCTTCCAGGCTTTTCAAACATGAAGTCCTATGTCCTTGCACAGATTTGAGGGTCAGGAGCAATGAGGTAGCTATCCAGGCAGACTGATCCCTGGAGCAGGTTCCTATTGGATTAAGCAGAGCATTGCTGTGAATAGAGGAAAACAAACCAAAAACTAATGGGGAAAATGATAGCCTTTCTCTCGTTTGACAGAGATCTTCCTTTTCCCTCTTTTTTTTGCACGTACATTTTCAGTTTGGTAGACAGGTAATTACATGTCTGATGTAAAGACCAACCCTCCCCAGCTCATGCTTCAGAGATGACAGGATTTAGTTGCAATTTTATCACAGTAATCATGAATTCAGTAGAAATGCACCTGGGGTGGAGGTGGAAGAAGAGCTCACGCGAGGTTTTCAAATGGGAGACCTGGAATCAGACATGGAGTTACTGCTCTTACCTTTAGCTTCATCTTCTAAGCTTGGGAGAGAGACCTGAAGCAATGCAGAGCTGAGCAAAGCTCTCACAACACAAGACAGGGTTCCAAGACCATCCCAGCTCACTCTCAGGAGCGGGTTAGGACACTTGAGCAGGACTGCCCCAAGCCAGTCACGCTGCTCTCTCACAAAGGCTGATCGAGTGGGCTAAACCCAGACAGTCCAAACCTTGAGCCAGTTTCCTACCATCCAACTCAGCATCTCAGTCCTGCAAATCCTGGCACTTCCATCCTAGCAGCAGTAAGGCAAAGCCAGCTCTGCCTGCCTGTCCTCCCTGCACAGACCTGCCCTTCATTCCCTATAGGTCCCCCCAGCTACATGCACTTGGACTGAAACACTTAACCCAGGTAATGGCTGGTAGCCACGTGGGCTAGTGAGCACATGCCATCTGTGGAGGACAGGAGTGAGAAACACCTCTCTGAACCCAACCTTGCAGCTTCCTCTGAAGCATGGAGAGGACTCTGCTGGGAAGAAGAGGAGAGGACGTGGGTGTGGAAGAACTCCATGGACATTTTCCCAAGGACACTGGCCCAGAGGTTCTGCTCCGCTGTCATTAGCTGGTCTGGGGGGGTCAGACCACAAGCTACATTGCCAAAGGCTGCCAAAATGAGGTGCACAAGAACAAATGAAATGATGAGGGAAATAAGCAGGAGTGAAGGGAACAAACATTTGGTTTAACAGCAGTTTCCATGCACCTGGCACTGCATCTTGTCAAAACATCTTTATCTCATGACCAGCACTGCCTGGCAACAACACTGTGCCATGCAGGGGCTTGTGGGGCAAAGAAACAGTTTGGCAGGATGCAAAGAGAAAGGAAAGATGGAACAGCTTTGCTGGGTTTCTAGTGCCAGGGTGGCCGGTAGAGAAAACTTATGTTCCCTGGACAGAACCTGGTGGTACAGACTGGGTAGGAAATGAGTCCTGAAACCACCATCAAACATCCCCCAGTCTAACACACACTTGTTCTTGAGGTCTTCAGTCATTACCATTCCCGCACAGTCATGCACAGAAGCACCTCTTTGTGACACATGCACACACAAACCAGGATCCAAAACTGCTCCTAAGAAGCTTCAGCACTGGAGACTCTCCCTCTCTAGCCCAGGAAATCTGCTCACACCATTACTGTTCTCATCACTTCCCCAGCGTCCACACTGAACATCCCTCGCTGTACATTTAAGTCCATTCTTACCCTTCCACTCCCTTAAGGATGTAACAGACCCATCCCCTCCTCTTTGCCAGAGCGTTCCCAGGTGTCCTCTAACTGCCCTGCTCCTGCCAGCTCCTCCAGTCTGCTCCCTGGGCAAGTGTTCCCTGGATTTATGACTGTTCCAGGCTGCTGCTCACCCCTCTCTGGACTGTGCACCTCTGGCCTTCCCACTGAGTCTCTGCCCACACTGAACAAGCAGGGTCTCTTCTAAACATCTTGCAGCCACAATTCCTATTTCATATGAGGGGTGAGAAAACGATCTGGTCAATCAGAGATGGGAGAAAAAGATGCCAGAGCCTCTGCTCTAACCACAAGCCTGGACCCGCTTGAAGGCTGATAGTCTCCCATACAC